TTACTCATGTTTCTATGGCAACTCTGAGGTCAGTGGAGTTTAGAAATGAGATACCAATATTAATGAAAAGTGTGTACTCTGCTTTTGCATGGCTTGGCTTAGCATCAAAGGTATATTAGGGCCACTTGAAAGCATGAAGACCAGTTGTATGGGAACAGGTTTCTCTCAGTGGCACATTTTGCTTTTTCTGAGCCCTCAAATACATTGCCTCAGCATGAACATTATTGTTTCTATAATTACACATGGTCATGGAATGAATTATGTGACTTAAAAGGATGGAACTGCTTGATGTTTGCAGATTCTAGCTGGCCATGTGACTGTTTGGCACATATCAAACAAACCTGGGGGGAAATATTGGAAGCCTTCTAACCCCTGTTTAGTCATAGACAAGTATATTTAGCTTATCAAAATGCTGACTGCCCCTGGTGTGTTGCCAGAAAGCTCTTTTTTGGTGTCCATTCCAAATGTGCTTTCTTGCATTTCATAATATCAAAGAAACCACCACCTCTTCTCTCAAAAGCATTTTATATGTCATACCTTTTATTCTATATTAAATGGGAATTGTGCCTGTTTAGAGTGCCCCTCCAATTAATTAGATACATGTGTCCAAAATAATCCAAGCCGGAGACACAGGTGAGAAAAACTTTTTTTTTTAAGTCCACTCAAGGCCAGTAATTTATCTGACAAGGTATTTTACCACATTATCTTGACATTTGATATATGAGCCTATTAGAAATTGCAGGTGGTTTCATAGGGCAAAATCCAAGTGGAGAGGGATATGTGGGGTTTCTATTAAGAGATACTTTTGTTACTGTTTTACCTCTCCTTTTATGATCCTCCCCTGCTAGGTTAGAATGGGTTAATTCTCCAAATTTGTTTTTTATCTTTTAGGGAAATTTTTACAAAAGCAATGGTCTGATGTAAATAACATTTTGAAGTATAGTGCACATAACTTCCCCAGACTATTCCAACCTGATAATTTGTAAATGCTTTAGAGTTTTTTAAATTAACATTTGTGTTGCTAAATCCTATTTATGTAAGTCTGCTAAAGATTTTAACCCATTTAAAACATAAACATTTAAATAATGGATGGGTTGCTCTGAATAATTTAGCTTTCAGAAACCCCTTGTTTTAGTATATGAAAAGGATAGCCTAATGCGCATTAATGAGGTTGGAGAGACTATGAGAAATATGTATAGTGTATATTTTAAAACAGCTTTGCTTGTATTGTGAAGATTTAAAAACAAACTTGAGATTTTTAACGTAACTATTAACACAGTTTTAACATAAGTTATCCCACTGGGTTTAAGAGCATCTTGAATGTATAATCCTTTTTGTAACCCAGGTTGGTTTCTGCTTTTACCAGTCATCCAAACATATTATTTATGATTTTAGTTTTATATACTCATTTACTTTTGTTTTCCTCAACCAGCATGATTTTTTTGCACATGTATTGTAGAAAATTTTAAAAAGAAAAATCAATACATCATTTTCTCTGAATTTTCTTCACTTCTCTCTTCCTTTCTACTAACCCGTTACCTTAAAGGCCATATCGCTCCATTTGCATTATTTGTGCAAATGCCAGGGTTGGTTTTTATTTTTATTTTTGCTATTTACCGAAAAAAAAAAATGCTTCAGTCAATTGCTTTTTTATTTAAAAAAAATTTTTTTTAAAAGAAAAAAAGCTGTAACCTTATCATTTCTGAGTAGACCATTGAAAGATGAATGCACACCTGTAATAGACCAGGACCAGCTTTGGTGGCTAAATGGAATATTTTAACTAAGCAAAAGGTTCTTTTCTAAAAATGGTGTATATAATCCACAGTGTCTTTCAGTTATTCCCACAAGCCAGGGGTCCAGATAAAATGAGGGTTATCAGCTAACTGATTTGTTACCATTGAGGTTCATCAATGAATTTGTACTTTTCTAGTTCCCTTTGGTGAAGGGGAAAAAAAAGATTTTGCAAAACCTAGATTTTGGCTTGGTTTATTGCCTCCTTTTTTGGCAGCCTTCATCTTCTCATCTCCCAAAGCCCTTGAGCCTGTCGGGTTTTCATGGTGGACAAAGGACCGTGGTCTTTTAAAGCTGGGACGTGATTTTTTTTGGTGAGAGATTATCATGTTGAAAGTGATGTTCTGCCACTTTCCCGATGACTAATTTTAAATCTACGTAGTCCTCTTAATTTTTGGACCAAACAGACGCCCACAAGTGGAGGCTTCCCAAGGGTTCCAATGGAGAAGCCTCTACCCCACTGTCAGCACCAGCTGGTAAAAGTGACTGTACAGATGTGCATTTTCCTTTTGGTAGAAATGGTTTGCAGCACTTAACTGGTAAGGCTTATTGTACAGTATATTGTCAGTATTCTTCTGGTTCAACATACCTTATAGTTCATATATAACCTGTATTAATTGTATAGATTGTGCATTTAAAGCTGTTACCAAGTTGTCAGAACATAAGAGCGAAAACAAGGTCATATGTAATATTTTGTTTGTAAGTATCCTTTGTATCATAGCAAAGGAAATGTTTAAAAAAAAATCAACTGTAATAAAGTAATTTTAGTACATGGAGTGTCTGCTCAGTTTTTTTAAGTAATTGTACTTCCATTAAATATATTTCAGTTCAATGACTGTTATTGGATAATCACTGAATCTCAGACACTGTGCTGGATTGAGTGAGATCAGCTAAGAATGAGCTCCCTGATGTCAGCTCTGGTCTAATTGCCTCAAATTCTGTGTGCCCAGGCAGTGAAGTAGCCTGTTGTGTTGTGGCTGTGAGATACGATTCTAGTTTAGGTTCTAACTGTATGATGCATGTTCTTAAGTTTTATACAAACGTATGTTGTGGTCTTTATTACTGTAGTTCCTCCCGTACACATGGATGCCCAGCTGTCTGCAGTTCTTGGACCTTGTGCAAAGAAAGCTTCTGAAGGTGGTTTCATCTGGGTTTATCTTCCCAGATTTTAAAATCACCACATTCTAGCCCTGAATGAGGTGTGTATCATCTAATCCAGTCCTGTTAAAATGACTTTTTTTTGTCAGAAGGCTTGATTTGGAGGGATGGAGTTTCATGGACTGGGGCTTCTATGTTTTTTTAATTAGAAAGTAGTCTTAAGTGTCATTTTAAAAAGCATTATTGAGATTACCTACTTTATTGAATAGAAGACTGTCAGAAAAGTGGCACTTTTCAACATAGCTTTTAAACTCCTAGAATGTTGATACTGAGCTATTTTGAGATTAATTAGCATTTACATAGGGTTTAATTTGCCTGAGTCAAACAGCCAAGATTAGATTCCAGGTGTTCTATCTCTAGCATTTCCAGTATCCCACCTTGAATTTGGTTGAGCTATAGAAAGGGATTTACAAAACAAGATTTCTTTTTATATCCCCACAATTGAGTTGTTCAAACTGCAGTGAAAGGAGAGTATCGTAAAACATGTGCTTCTAACCATGTCAACAACTCAAAACACATGTTGTTATTGACCAAACGCATCAAAGATGCTCTGAGTTAATGCTTAGGGTTTAAAGCCTATCCTACCTGACTATAAAAGAAATTTGAAGAGAAATAAAAAATCAGCACAGTGGTCTAGCTGCACAGCCCCAGGGTTATAAGCTAGCACTGTCATCTACATCTGAGTGATGAAAAACTGCTAAACCAGGGTTTTCCTATACGTGTCCCAGGCACTTAGTGAGTATATTTTCAGATACTTGTTCTTATAGATAAGAGACAAGGCCGCGGCGGGCAGCGGGGTTGGGGGCGGTGGGGCAGTGGCAGTGCTAAGGCTATGCAAACTGCAACAAACAACTTCAGGGACACCATTCATAGACTCATGCTGACTCCGTCACAGAGTTGTGTAGCAGCTCTGAAAACATTCTCCTTTTGTTAACGCCCTTTACATTATGGAGTTTAAGATAAGCATTACTTATTGTCATATCAGCCAGTGATTGACTAGGAAAGGGCAAAGTGTGGCATGAATAGCAGTGGTTGGGGTTCTGGTCTTTAGCCCCATCACTACTGACTGTGAGATCTTGAAAAACATCCTTTCTGACCATCACTTATAAAAAGAAAGATGGTTTTTTGGCTGGAACAAATGAACCAATGTATAACCTATTAGCCATAATATGGCTATCAGTGCGCACGCATGCGTGCATGCTTGGGAAGGGGGTAGGAAGAGTTTGCTTTTAACTGGGCAACCCAGCACCCAGTCTGTGGGCCTCAAAGGTGCTGCTCTTCTAGGTCCTTCCCTACTTTGCAATAGAATTAATAACTGGAACTTCTTGGCCTTAAAAGAATCGGAAAAAAGATTCTGATCTAAAAGATGTCACCTCATTACAGAGGTCTTTGAGCTCTGATTGTGGAATTAAATGGACTTGCAGAATAGGATTCATCTGCTTTTACTATTTCATTTTAGCCTAGCAGACCTAAATTAAGGCCTTTTCATTGTCACAGTGTTTTCATATGGAATAATTCATAACTTGCCCAAAAGTTCTGTGTGTCACTGATGAAGGAGAAACTGGAACCCACATCTCCACAAACTCAGTGCTCTGTCCAACACACAAATTAGTAATTACCCCTGGAAAATATCTCTGTGTAGGTACGATTGATGATCAGGGAATTTTGAGCCTACTGGGAAATTATTAGCCCAGAGCAGGAGGACTGGTTATTGATTAAACAAAGCTGCCAGTGGTTAGTGTTAGGGGACACAAACCTAGAACTATAGAAGTGAAGCAACATCCAGTAAATAGTGTGCAGTGAGGCTCTGTTAACTCACAGGTAGGTAAGCGTGGCTCGGTACATAGAGGACTCGAGACAAACAGCATGTTTGTTTCTGGAGATTTAAAAATGACATTCCATTGTTGTAGGGAGACTGCAATTTATTATTCAGAGGCAAACAAGTTGGAGAGAATTTTTTGTTTAATCACACTAGTGATAGACACTAGAACAGGATATTATCTTCTTATATAGGAAGGCTGGAGGAGCTAGAGATACTTGTTTTTAAAATGTTAATATCTTTTATTGTTTGTTTTAATGAAATTCCACAATTCCTCAGCACAGGTCCCCTCCATGACGTGTGCCAAGTGGCTGTCTAGGTTGCATATTCTACCAGAGTTGTGGGACTTCCTGCTTCCTAAGGCATTCATTCCATCTCTGGGCACTCGGACACTCCCTGGATATAGCTTCTCAATCTTAACTTGGTAAAATGTGATACGTGGTGAAAACAGTTTCTGATGCCATCCTTTGTGGCTTGGCTGTAGAATCATTGGTATCACTGAATCACTGGTATCATTGGCAAGTTCTGCCAAAGTGGCCAAGTATATCTGTTTATTTAAGCATGGAGAAACTTTAAAGTTCATTTCTAAAGGAAGAAACCTTGGCATTACTAAGCGTGACTGACTGACAAAAGATCCTGTGGTCTGGGTGGAAGAGGAGTACAGAAGACTTTCTGGTGTGGTTTTGAGGTTGCATATAAAGCTGAAATGACACTTCCTGTGTCAAGACTTCTTATAACAGCACTCAAGTCTTGGCAAGGATATCTTCACACAAAACAGAGACAATGTCTTCTCAAAATGAGAATGTGGTGCTATGTTTTTTTCATATTGTCATCTCTTGCCAAGCCACCTTGGAAACCATGTATAAATACATAAAATACTAAATCTTTAAGAGAATTAAGTTACAGCTTAACCACAGTCTTTGATATCAAAGGTCAGAACTTAGTAGAACTCAAAGAAACTTTGAGAAGCAGTTGTAGGCTTCCTACATTCTGATCCAGTGGATGGAGACACAACGCAGTTTCTGCTTCAGAGATGATGTCTTCTTTATTGTCATTGGGTTGTTTTTACCCCCTTTACCATTTAAAGGTGTTTCTAAATAATGAAAAGACCAAAAGGGGAGGTGAGCAAGTGAATGAGACCTGAGTGGATTGCCAGACATGCTACTTGGAAAACTCCCAGCTCAATGGTACTTCTTTGGGTTTTGTTTCATTGTTTTCTTGCTTCCCCCAGCTTGTAACTTGTCAGTTTGTTCAAGGGCCAGTGCACTCTCTCAGAATGTGTGTCTGGGGTTCTTCCATCGGGTTTCATACAATTAGCTAACAACAAAAGTGGAGCCAGTTTGGGTGAGTCCTTTGTGATTAGATGAAGGGAAGGGTCACCCAAACCTGCTTGAACCGGAAGTACACTTTCTGGCAAAAATGGGCTGAAAAGCAGTGATGTCACCAGTGACGAGAAGACAGGAGAGAAGTAGCTTCTTGAGAACGGCTCTGAGTACATCTGGCACAAGGGGCATGGAGGAGAACTGGGGTTTAGGTCTGTGGATCCAAGGCAATCAGTGGAGCTGGATTGGGCTGTTCTGAAAGCTTGGCGCTGGAGAGGGAAAGGCTAGTAGTAGTGTCAGAAAAGAGGGAACTAACCAAATAAACACCGCAGATGTGAGGTTCGTACTTTTATCACTTAAAGGATATCTGTATCTTCCTCTATCCTCACCCCACAAGCTTGCTTTCCTGTAAAAGATGAACCATGATTTCTCCAAAAGCTATTATCTCAAAGAACCAGAGTCCCAAGGTATCTGGCCTAGGGAAACAATCCAGATTTTAGCCCTTAGGGGCCATTTAATCCTGGGGGTGCAGGTGGGGGGGGGTGTTTAAAAAAACACTGATGTGTTCTTTGGTTTGCAGTGAGTTCTGAACTATCATAGGGTCCTGCATATGGGAGTGCAAGACCTAATAAACTGAAATCTCCACTGTACCAGATGCTGGGGGAGAGGGCTGGCCAGATGTCAGTAGTTCTTCACCAAGCCTTACACCAAGGCAGTTAGCCAGAAGTAGAATGGCTTCTTTGGGGTTCACTTCCTTATTACTTCTCCTGCTCAGAAATAGTGAGAGAATGTTAGCTGAGGAATGTGGAGGAAGAGGAACAAGTGGTGGGGAAGGAGGTGGGGAGTCTTTTCATGACAGGATAATGTGCCTTAGACAACTGAGTGTTGTCTGCCTTCTGGTTCAGATTCTTGGATTAGTTTATAGAGTTTCTTCTTATTTGATTTAGAAGAACAAGAATGGGGGAAGATTATCCAAACCTAAAAACATGGCCCCAGGAATTCCTCATACCAAGCCTTAGGACATGGTAAACATCTCTCCTCCTTAAAATTGCTTTGCTGTTTGTGAGGCCAGGATGGAGCCTCTTGTCAAAAGAGGTGCCTTCTTTTCTTGATGACCAATTAAAACTTCTGGTTCTGGGGAAAGCTTTCTTTTTGGGGGGTGAGGGGACGGACTGGATGTCCTACTGTATTGCTTAATGGCCTAATCCAAACCAAGCTGTGTGGGTCAATCCATACAATGCCTTATTTTACTCTTAACTTCAGCATTAGTCCTCAAAACACCGAGGAGCCTATCAGTAAGTGGCCAGATCCTGGGGGAAGATTTTCCTGCATCTACATGGATGGATAGCCTTTTGAATAATTGAGCAGAAAAGGTGTGATAATGTGAAATATTCATAAATCACTGAGTCAGCTCCAGTCAATCTCTTGGAACTTCTGTTTTCTCTGGTACCAGATGTCTCTCTAGGCTCTGAAGAGGGAAAGGCTAGCAGCAGTGTCAGAAAAGAGGGCAACTAACCAAAAAAACCACCTAAGATATGAGGTTTATACTTTTACCATTTAGAGAAAGCTCACATCTCTAGAGAAAAACACCTCTCGCTAGAGCTCTATGGAGTAATCCTCCAAAATGGTACTGGAAGGAGCACCTGGAATGTCTGAAAGCCTGGCTCCTTGAACTATGGTCAAGCACACCCTGAGAGGATTTCCTATTCTTAATCACCCCTGGAATCTCTTCAGTGAGTCTTGAGGTCCTAGGCTGAAGCCCCACATCAGCCCCCCAACTCCCAATCAAGACTTGCAGAACTCATCCAAACATTGGACTTTAGTGTTCCAGACGCAGGTGTTCATTCACGTTCTCCGCCTCCTCACCCTCCCCAACCCAGTCTCCGCACAGCACTGCCTGCCTCCGGGCCTTTCTCACTGACGCAGCCACACGGCTGTGAGCCGCTTCCACAGCTGTCACCACGTGAAGTCAGCGGAGCGCCACAGCCGCAGGAAAAAAAAAAAACAACGAGGGAAGTGGGACCAAGACACAAACATCCTGTCTGTCCCCACTACCTCAAGTGGCTCCAGCTTGAGAACCTGGGTGGCACAGACCTACCCAATGGCTCACAAAAACTCATCTTCTCTGTGTCATTGCTAGTGAGTGAGCATTTTCTCTAAAGTCCAGGGACTTAAATGGTGCTATTCTTTAGCTTATGAAGTCAGTGACAGGGGATAGTGATGGGCAATGCCCCGCTGCTGAGCCGGGATGAGTTGGCATATAAAGAACAGGGTCGGGGCAAGAGTTCCACTCAGGGGCCAGTGAACACCAGCTTCCAAGGGGTTCCATCTCTTTCCACAGACCAGTTTAAGAGAGGGGCTGGACCAGGGGCAAAGGGCTGCAGCTACCTGGGCGCATTCAGTCCTCATTGCCTGGTAAGGACTCAGCCATGTGCAGTTCTGTTCTTCCCTGCAGGGCTAGGGGCTTCTCGGGTCAGGCCTCACCGTGTATAGGATCTCTTCCAGCTAAAGATCTCCTCCAAACTGGAAGAGGGGGAGACCTCCCGCTTCGGCAGGGTTCCCCAGCGACGCCGGCCCGCCAGGAAGGAAGCTCGGCGCTTGCTCAGCCCTTTCATCCTCTCTTCCGTCCGGAAGAAGTCAGTCAAGGCCCGGAAGTACTCCAAGGTGACGTCATGGCTCCAGGCTGGCAAGGGCTCCTGGCGCAAGAAGCCACAGTGGCCCCCGTGGCGGCTGAGCAGAAGGAAGAAGTAGGGGTTGCTGTGAAAGAGTTCAGTAGGCAGAAAGTGGCTTGGGGGCCCGCACACGGGGTCGTCGGCACTGCAGATGCACAGCACAGGTACCGCTGCCTCATCCACATCCCGGAGGGGGTCGTTGTGGTCCCAGTAGGTGTCCCAGCTGATGGGGAAGCTCTTGGTGTGGCAGAAGAGGGTTTCCTCAAACTCCCGCAGGGAGCGGCTCCTGAACAGTTTGCCGGTATCCACGGTGTCCTCCAGGGCCGTGGCGTACCTGGCAGCAAGAAGTTGGAGGAGGAAGGAAGGAAAGAGAAAATAAATTGACACCACATGTTACTTAATGGCCACCCACAGGCCAGTGTCTGACCATGGAGGCTTTCTTTGGTCATATAGTGTGCTTAAAAACTTCCACATCGTTGCCATCATTTAAAACCAGGAGATTTGGGAATTCCCTGGCAGTCCGGTGCTTAAAACTGCCGTGGGCCTGGTTTGATCCCTAGTCAGGGAACTAAGGTACATGGCGTGGCCAAAAATAATAAAATCAGGATAATTCACGTAAAATGCACCTCGCTGGCTTCTCAAAGGAAATGAGGAGATCTGATGACATGGGCTGGCATGGCAACAATCAGGGTATTTCTGCCCTCCTTCCTGTATCAGTTTCTACCAGGATGGTCATTCGCCGCATCACCTCCCCAGCCCTGGGGCAGCATTTGGCTTTACAGCCGTGACCACTGTCCTCCTGACCTCAACTTCTGACCCCTGTAGGGAGCTTGCTATAAACTGTCCCCTCCTGTACCCCTCTTAGAACCCACTGGCTCAGACTATCCAAAGCAGCAAGTGGCACCCCATCATTAACATTTTACTTTAAGTTGTATTAGTTTGCTTGCTTTTTAAAAAATATATCTATTTATTTATTTCTAGCTGTGCTGGGTCTTTGTTGCTGCACAGCCTTTTCTCTAGTTGTGGCGAGCCTAGTTGCAGTTGCATTGCGTGGCTTCTCTTGTTATGGAGCGTGGGCTCTCACTCCATGGGATCAGCCGTTGCAGCTCCCGGGCTCTTAAGCACAGGCTCAGTAGTTGTGGTGTAACGGGCTTAGCTGTTCCACTGCATGTGGGATCTTCCGGGACCGGAGATCGAATCCATGTCTCCTGCATTGGCAGGCGGATTCTTTACCACTGAGCCACCAGGGAAGCCCAGTTTGGTTATTTTTTAAAAGATAATATGCTGTCCAGATGATGACAAATGAGTGTGACCTTGATCAGTGGGGCAGATACTTCTAGAGAGGGCTGAGTGGCGGAGGAAGTAACTGGGAGTGTAATAATTAATTTATGGGGTGAGTTCCCAAATGGGAGCCCAAGAGCAACTGCTCTGGGAAAGAGGGATATATTTGCTTTTTCCACCTCCCTGGGGAGAGCCTGGCACCCTGACTAGGAGGCCAGGATGGGCAGTTCAGTACTTAGTTTGGGTTAATTCAGCCTTAGCAAGCTGAATTTGGATAGGTGCCTCCTGCAAACATTCAAAGAGGCTTGCCCTAAGTGGGCAATCCCCAAATTCCATGGGCAGGGCAGTTCCTAAAGGCCCAGTTTTTCCCTTCACTTCCCTCACCGTATCCTCCAGCTGGTACCTGGGGTCAGCAGCACTGATGGTGGTCATTTGCAGAAGGAAACTGACAATTAGGCCATGTGAGAGCACCTTGCCCCTGGACTGTTCCAGTGGCTCTGGGTTGCCATGGTAGCACGTGGGCTGTTGTTGAGCTCAGGGAGGCAAAATGCAGCAAGGAAAGAAAGAGAAATCACAGTTGGCACCGGGTATTGGTGCCAGGCCCCGTCCTTTGGTTATCTTATTTCACGCCACCTTGTGAGGTGGTTATTATTAACTCCCTTTCACTGAAGAGGAAAGTGAGGCTCATAGGGATTAGCTAGACATGATGGCCACACAATGGTGGGGCAGAAAGACCTGGCATGTGGGGTCAGACCCATTTGGGTTCAAATCCTGAATTCCCAGCAACTTAGCTAACCCCTTCATCTCCTAGGAAAGCAACAGTGTAAGCCGAGGCCTGGTTATTTGCTGTGGGACTGTCCCCCAGGCCTTTTCAGTGGAAGAGTCTCCCTATTACCCTGGTGGTAGATTCTTTTCTTTTTGGATATTTAAAGAAATATGTTTAAAGATTCTTAAAATTTTTGCAATAAATATTGAGTACTAGGAATATGCAAAACACTTGTCAGGTCTAAGGAATTTCAATAAATCAAATAACCACCAAATTTCTGATTCCTGTCACCTTCAGGCTCAGAGGCTATAAGGAAACATTCTGGACAATCAGTCACAATTGCTTCCAGAGCCCTCTTTGCTGATTTGATTAGGCGATGTGCAGCATCAGGTGCTCAGGTTGCTAGCGGTGCAGCTGAGGTGAGGCCAGGGGGTCCCCTGGGCTGGAGTCCCTGCTCCAGCTAATGATGCTGACTCAGTCGGTCCGTGGCTTTTAAATTTGCTTCTCTGATTCTGTCCAGCCTAGAGGGTTTGGACGCTTCAGAAACTGTGTGTGGAGAACTCTGCCCAAATTGCTCTACACATGTTTGATTCATTACCAGGCAGAGCTGTTTCCCAGCCCCAAACCCCTACCCACCGGGTCTGCGGCCCCCGTTACCCACCTGCTGAGGGCGATCTTCTGGTGAAGCAGAAAGCCCCGCTCGTAGGGCCAGGGCAGGCCGGCCTCAAACCACTCGCGGCAGCGTAGCACGGGCGAGATGCAGGCAGCTCCGGTCACATAGCTGGAGGAGCCACACTCGCCCAGGTAGGACAGCAGAAGCGCCGAGCCCGAGCCCTCGCTCACCGCGAACAGCGGGGCGGCGGGGTGTCGGAAGCGGATGTAAGTGATGGCCTCTTTGAGGTCGGACGGGTCCCCAAAGGGCTGCAGCCGGGGGCTGACCAGTGGGCAGTCGTGGTGGCCGCGCCGGTGGAAGATCACCGGGTAGTAGCCGCGCTCCAGGGCCAGCAGGCAGAGGCGGAGCACGTTGCGGGTGAGGCGCCCCCAGGCATTGGGGATCACCAGCAGTACCGCCGGGAGGCCCCCAGCATTGGTGGCCCGGCGGCCCCGGGCGCCAGGTCCCACTACCCAGTCCAGGGCCACCAGCCCGTCGTCTGCCAACTGCAGGTACTCCCGGGCCAGCTCTGACCCCGGCCCCACCGGCAGCACGAAGTGGCAGAGGGTCTGCAGGTGGGGCCCGGAGAGCCAGGGGAGCGGCCCCGGCTCTAGCGCGGCTGAGCGTCGCAGAGCGCGCAGCAGGCACTGGGCCAGCGCCGACGGCTTACAGATGAGCCTGCAGCCGCCGGGCAGAGGCTCCCGCCCGGCGCTTAACTGACCCGCGGGGCCTCCGCCGTCCATCTCCCCGTGATCTTCGCTCCGCGCCCCCGGCAGGGTCCTCGCTCCGACGACGCGCCTGCTGGGGCGCCGCAGCCGCAGGGCGAGCAGGGCGAGCGCGGCCAGGAGCAGGGCGAGGGCGGCGCCCCACGGTGGCATGGCGAGGCTGGAGAGCCCCCGGCGGGCGGCCGCGGCGGGGACGCCCCTCGGCTTGCTCCCCGCTCTGCTCGCGGCTCCGCCCGGCCGCGGCGGCCGCCCAGGGCCCTCCCGCGGGTCAGGGAGAGGGTGCGCTCCGGATTGGCCGGGGCCCCGCAGAGGCAGCCAGTTCGCGCCCGGCTCCCCTCACCCGCCCCCCGACTCCCGCCCCCCGGCCCTTTGTACAGCGATTGCGACAGGAGCAGAGGGTGAGAGCAACGGAGGCCACGGAGAGGCAGCGAGGACGCGCCGGCGAGGCGGAAGGGAGTGGGGAAGGCGAGCCGAGGAGCGGAGTGTGGGCAGCGGCGGAGTGTGGGGAGACTCGGAGGCCGAGGCCGGGCAGACGGGGGTGAGCCTCAGAATCCTCTGCCCCCACCCCTCCGCCCCGCGTGGTGTGTGGGGTATGTGGCTCCCGGGGAGCCCCTGGTCACTGCGCCCTCAGGGGCCGCTGCCGAGAAGCAGCAAAAGGGAGAAGCTAATGAACCGCAGCTCCCGGCGCGGACCCCGGGCTCCCGCGGGGCGGCGCGGCGCGGGGCGGCGCGGCGCGGCGCGGCGCGGCTGCAGCGGGAACCATCACCCGCACCTCGGTCGCCCGGACCGGCGGTCCTCTCCGATCTCGGTGTTCGTCTCCGCCCCGCCGGCACCCGCAACTGCGCAATAACTCCTGCCGGGAGGGGGTCCGGCTCTGGGCCAGCGAGGGCCAGGGCAGGCGTCGCGCCCCGACCGCGGGCTTGCAGATGGAGCCCAGAGGGCCAGGGACTGCGCGTTTCCCTTGCCTGCATTAGAACGCCCTGCCGACGCCCCCGCGAGCATGGGGCTGCCCTGGATCCTGGCTGCAGGGAGAGGGAACCCTCAACACCGCTCCCCAGGAAGGACTTCCCTAAAAGAAACAGCCCCTGAGCCGGAGGGAAAGATGCATTCGGGTGCCCTTGGAGGAGGTGCCTGTCACCCCGCGAGCGAGTCGTGGCGGGGTATGGATTGAGTCCCTTCATCAGCTCAATCTCTGGGGCTCGGGGGGCGGGTAAGAAATACCCCTTGCAAGTCACGGGGGGTGGGGGCGGTGGATGTGGGAGACTCTCTTGCTCGATTTCAAAGTTTTAGGCTGGACATTACAGCTCTCACCCTCCACCCACTTTCCCGTCTTCCCTCAAAATCCCAAGCTGGGCCAAGGAGATGGGCGCCCGAGATAGGGCGGCACAGCGGGCGCCCTGCTGCGGGGAATGTCTGGCCGAGCACCCTGATGGCCAAAATCACGAGGTGGCCAAAATCTCCTCGGGCACCGGCGGGCCGCCGCTGGGCTTATCACGAAAGCGGAGGCGGACGTGGACAACAAAGCAGCCCCCAGCCTGGATGCAGCTTCCCGGGACTTCCGGGCCTGGGGAGCGTGGAGGCCCGAGACCCTCTGAGACTCCTCCGGATTCGGGAGCTATTTGCGAGGGAAGCAGTGGGGACCCTCTCCTTTCCGCAGTTTGTATTTCAAGATTCTGCCTCTCTTCCAGTGATGAGTCTGAAGCGGGTTTACCAAAGGAGTGGACGCGTCTCCTCTCCTGGGCCACCTAGTTCACAGGAGTTCCATTTTCCGCCCTCCTTCCCGCTCCACGATCCCACCCAGGAGCTGCAGCTGCGCCCTGCAGGCCGCGGAGACCCAATGGGACCAGTGCCGGGGAGGGAGGTGGTCCCGCCAGTCTCGCTGCGCTGTGCGCTGAGGACCCGCTTCCAGATGACTTTTCCGGCTGGGGCTGGCAGACTCGTGCGCACGCGGCCGGGGCTGTGGGCGGGCCCAGGGGCGGGGCGGGGCGGGGACCGGGCAAGAGCCGCCCGCCCGGAGCCCCGGGGCGGGGCGAGGCCGGGGGCGGGGCGAGGCCGGGGGCGCGCGAGCCCGGGAGTCAAGGCGCGTGGTCTGGGGTCGGGCCGGACCGGCGGGAGCGAGCCCGGGGTCTACGTGGGCACGCGGGCGGCGTGGGTGCGCGGGGGCAGGCCCTGGCGGCGAGCGTTCCCTTGTTGGCTGGGCGGCCGGCTGGCCTGGGGCGGGCCGGGATGGCGCCTCCTCCGCCGCCGCCCCAGCTGTTGCTCCTGGCCGCCCTGGCGGGGCTCCTGGGTCCCCGTGAGGTAAGGGGACCGGCTGCCAAGAAGCCTTCGGCCCGGGGTCTCCAAGTGCTTTGCCAGAAGGAAGGGCGTGCCGAGAGGGGGACTCGGGATTCTCCCCTGGAGTGCTGGGCCTGGGAGGGAGAGGGCAGAGCCCTCTCCGAGGCCAGACGATCCAGCTCTTCTGCGCCTTTAACCCGCAGGTGGTGGCTGAACCGGCGGCGGAGGAGGCGGGAGCCCGGTGTCCCGAGGGCCTGTGGCCTCTGCCTCCACAGGTGGGAGCCTGGAGGGCGGTGGGAGAGAGAAACGTGAAGGGGTAGTGCAGTCCTGCCCTGGCCTCGCGGTGCCCTCCACAGCCATCCTCTGGGCACCTTGTTCCTCCGGGCCTCGCCACCAGCGTCACCACCCAACGTGACAGCACGGCTTGCTGTCCTGTCCCACCCCCATCCCCCCCAGCGGAGTCTCCCGGGGCCTCTCAGTTCTCTTGTCTCCCTGGTACAGGTGTCACCAAGAGTGACCTACACACGGATGCGGCCAAGGCAGGTGAGTACAAGCAGGAGGCATCCTCGGGGTCTGTGCTGGAAACAGCCAACTCCTTGCAGGCTTCCTCCACCTCTTCTGCTCACTGGCTCCATTCTTTACCGCTCCCCACTCCAGGAGGAGACAATGCTCTTAGTCCCAGGACTGTGAGCTTAGGCCTCTGTCTTCTGCAGTGAGGTGTCAGGAATGCTATTGAGTAGCTAACTGTGTGGGCAGGAGGCTGCAAGGGGGTTGAGAGTCCTAGGAGAAAACAACCAATGCTCTAGCTCTGCTGTGTGACTTGGGAAGTCTGCTGACTTCTCTGGCCCCACTTTTCTGTGAGAGAGGTTCTTAGTGGTTATTATGGCCTTCCCAGATGGCACTGGTGGTAAAGAATCCACCTGTCAATGCAGGATACGCAAGAGATGTGGGTTCAATCCCTGAGTCAGGAAGATCCCCTGGAGTAGGAAATGGTAACCCTCTCCATTATTCTTCCCTGGAAAATTACATGGACAGAGGAGCCTGGCAGGGTACAGCCCAGGGGGTCACAACTGAGCACACACGCTCCCCATAAGGAGTAAACAAATTGTGTGGGATAGCACTTAGGAAAATAGGAAGCTGTAAAGAGTGTGTGTGTGTGTAATGGGTTTCCCAGGTGACTCAGTGGTAAAAAAATCCGCCTGCAATGCAGGAGACGTGGGTTTGATCCCTGGGCTGGGAAGATCCCCTGGAGAAGGAAATGGCAACCCACTCCAGTATCCTTGTGTGGGAAATCCCATGGACAGAGGAGCCTGGTGGGCTATCGTCTATGGGGTCAAAAAGAGTCAGACATGACTTAGCAACTAACCAACAGCACGGAGTGTGTGTACCTCAGGTTACCGACCAAACCTTGGGCTCACCTTGTGTGGCTGCATGCTTCACTGCCAGTGGTTGGATAGCTTCTCTGTCCTTTTGGTTTTCCTTTTGAAATACCTATTTTTGATCCTTGTAACATCTCCAAGCCAGAAGAGCTTATGCCACCTATCTATTTCCTTTCCCCAAACAGCCCTTTTCATTGCAAACTGTTCAGAAACCAATGGCTCCTCATTTCCCACCTTATCGTGGCCCCACCCCCCTGTCTGGTTTTTCTGGCTCTTACCTGGTTCAGTAAGCCTCGTCTAACCTCTCCACAGCTTTGGTTCCCCTTCAGTCGTGTTGGTCTGCTCACCACCCGTGAGTGTGAGGCTCCTTCCCCTCTATACCTGGCCTGACCTGACTTGAAGTGGGGCAGCTCCCTGCACTCCTGCCGTCCATCCCCACCCTTCTTCAAGGCCCAGGGCAGGAGTCAGCTCTCCCTTGAGACCTTGCCTGAGCACATTAGCCCTTATTTATTCATCACCTTCTCCAAATTTGTGTAATGCTTGTAATTGTCTCTTAAAATTTAACTGCTAATCACTTTGAGCTTTATTAGTTTGCTCGTTTATTTGCATTAGTCCTGTTTCCCTGAGTTTTCCTTTGTATTCCCTGCAAGCGGAGCCCAGGAGTTCTCTTTTGGCATCTCCTACAGCCTTCGGCACAAATGCCGAGCATCAGGTCAGCTCAATCAAAGAATGATTAATAATTGAAGTGTTTCCATCCTGAGGTTGTGCACCTGCTGCCTGTGTGCCCTGTATTCAGATGCTTTGGGGAGACTGAATATATATAGATGGGTCAATACGTGGAAGACTTGGTCTCTCTTTGCGGGGGTGGTTACAGCCTAGATGGGGGACCTGTAGAGCCAGGTGCAGAGGAACATAGCTGAAGAGGGTGGTCTGAGCCTGGCAGGGTTAACCACGCATGTTGTCGTGGAAGCTGTGACGTCTGAGGGGTGGCACTACTCAGAGAGGAGGGATGAAGGAATGCCCAGAGGCAAGAGGGCATGCATGCCAGTATCCAGGGCTCTTTATCCTTTCCTGAGCCCAGAAGGAGGGAGGATCATCTGGTCATCCTGGGAGTCCCTTGAAGTTGGCTCCCCAGGATGGGAGAACTTGGGACTCTCAGGAGGGACCTGGGCCTGGCTTGACGTCTCCATGCCTTTCCTGCAGGCTGAGGATGTCAGCTTCCTTTACCACCCCTGTGCCCACCCCTGGCTGAAGCTCCAGCTTGCCCTCCTCGCCCACACTTGTGTGGCCCAGCCCTCACTGGCCCCTGACTCCAGCCTCACCCAGGATCGGGTAAGTGCTTGCTGAAAGGTGGTTGTCTGGTACCAGCGGAGGCTGCAGCGCCATGGGCAGGGCAAGGTGAATTCAGGGCCTCCTCTTGCTTGCTCCCCAGCTTTGACCTAGCTGTAACAGTTCCCACCTCCTTTCGTAGCCCCTTGTACTGGCAGCATGGGGGTTAGCGCTGGAGATGGCGCGGGTGGAGCCGGCCCGGGCTGCCCACTGGCTGAAGAGGAGGCAGCGGCGGAAGCAGAGGAGAGAGAAAGCTGGGTTCCATTCTGATGCTGTTCCTGGGCCCCCTTCCTTGGTGCCCACGCTGGGCAGAGGGAGGCTGTGCCATCGGCGAGGGTGTGTGCAGGTGAGGGGTGCTGGCTAGGTGTGGCGGTCATGGGGTTGCTGGCTCAGGGTGGTGGTGTCATTGGGTTATCTGGGCAGGGAGGAGGTGACCGCTATCTCTTCTGCTCTTAGGCCCAGGCTTTGGCCTTTACTCTGAGGAGCTGGCGGCCACCCGGCGTGGAGGTGGAATCTAGCAGACCTGGGCAGCTCTTTGCTAGTGGTGCCAGGAGACGTGGGCTGCGGGCCGCCTTTGGTCTCCAGCCCACCCCCTCAGCCCCGAGGTTCCCCTCTGTTTCCCCAGGGAGCTTGGAGGCCAAGCAGCCCATGTTGGGACCTCAGGGTGAAGGCGATAATGCCCGGTCTGTGCCCACTAGCCCACTGCTGCCTGGGGGGCCAGGAAGCAATGTCAGCTCCAGGCTGGAGGCTCAGCCGCCCAAAGGGCAGAACAGCCCTGGGGGCTGTGCCTGTCCGGGTCAGGCTTCCCCGGCCCCTCGGGCAGCAGCGCCACCAAGGGCCGCCCGCGGCCCCACCCCTCGCACGGAGGAGGCCGCCTGGGCGGCCATGGCCCTGACTTTCCTGTTGGTGCTTCTCACACTGGCCACGCTCTGCACTCGGCTGCACCGAAACTTCAGACGCGGGGAGAGCATCTACTGGGAGCCCACGGTGGACAGCCGGGACACCGTGGCTGGTGAGACGCGGCCCTCCTCACCCACAGCCCCGCCGCCCGGGGCTTCCTGGCCCTTGACCGCTCCCCCTTCTGCCCATAGCTGTGCTGAAGCGTAGGCTGCTGATGCCCGCTCGCCGGGTCAAGCGCTCCCGCCGGAGACCCCTCCTCCCGCCCACGCCGGACAGCGGCCCGGACGGGGACAGCTCCGAGTGACCTGCACCGGCCCTGCCGCTGTGGCAGGTCCGGCTCCTCCCCGCGCCGGAGGCCGCGACCTCCGCCACGTGGCCCGCGCGCGGGGCCGCCCCCTGGCGGCCGGAGGGAGCAGTCACGCCCAAGCGCGGCTGATGGGCTGGTCCTTGGTGTGTGGCTTGCTGGGAGGAACGGGGTGGGGGAGGAGGAGGAGAAAGGAGCAGTTTCAGCCTCCGTTGCAAAAACTGTTTTTATTAAATTATTTTAGTAGAGGCTGGAGTTGAGCTTGTGTATCTGCCAGACAGACTCACTCCCACCGGGGACACTGTCCTAGGTCACGTAGGTCGTGTTTGAGGTAGGGAGGGGGTTACAGGATCAAGTCAGGCACCCTCTGCCGCCTCTTGCCAACCTGGCCTCAGATCCTGGGTTTTAGTAACGTGGTAGACCCTTCCCACCACCATGGGCGAGCGGCTGGCAGGACGCTGGTGGTAGTTACTGAAACGTTGTTGTTTGCAGGACCCCGCTAACAGAAGACGGGGGGCTTCCCCCCCTTCAGTATGGGGGCTGCAGCAGTCACTGTTCTCACTGGCTTCATACTTTTGCCAGATTGGTCTTTCTCTGTTTCAGGTCTGCACCTCGCTGAGCCCTCCTCCCACAGTTCCCAAAGCATCAGAAAGAGCACATGGTCACTTATTTATTTTTGATACAAATGTACATGACACACGTCTTGACAGTCAGCCCACCCACCACCACACAGGTAGAGCCTGGCCCCTGGGACAGAGGTGGGGCAGGGAGAGGAGCTGATAGCGCTGCCATCTGCCTCCCCAGGCTGCAACCCAGGCTCCAGGGACCCAGACACCGCAGGCGCTGGCCTCTCGGAGGTTACAGGGAGGGGCTCTCAGTCGGGGACCCCGGGGAGCCAGCCCCAGGCTCGGGTGCTCAGTTGCCCCAGCCGGCACTTTTCCCCTCCATAAGGGAGGGGAAGAGAGATGGAGCAAAGTGGTTTTCCTTTAAGTTCATAGACAGAGGGTATGAGTGGGGGGAGCAATGAGGGGAGGCAGAGGGCAGGACCTAGCTGGTTCCCTCCCCCAGCCCCTGGCCCCAGGATGGGGGGGAGGTCAACGCCCAACCCTGGTCCCCTCACCCCTCACGAAACCCCAGACGGGCCAGGCCTCTGGAACGGCACTGCCGCCCCGCACACTCACACGCAGGCACACTCAGTTACCACAACGTTAAAATTAAGGGGTGGAAGAGAGGAGAGGAGAGGAGAAAAAAAAAGATTAGACTTTTCCAGTGTTTGCTGCTGAAGACCCCGGGGACACAGGTTGGGGCCTGTGCCCTAGGTGGGGCCGTTTGGCATTGAAGGAGAGAGCAGCAGGGGGCTGGTGGCTACAGGGTGGGGACATCCACAGGTATTATGTACAAGGGGGGATGCCCCCCGCTCAGCCCCCAGGAGGGCTGGACTGGCTCATGGGGGTGGGGTGCATCAGGGAGCTGCCCCACTTGGAGTGTCCCCACTTGACCCTTGGCTGAGGGTGCCCCCAAGGGCATGGGGTTGGGAGTGCCGCCTTGCAGGCCCCTGCACGCTAGAGGGGGCGGGGGGCTATGTACATGGAGGGGTGCATGGAATGTGGGGGCAGAAGCTCCTGCCACCTCACCTCCCCATCCTTGGGGGCTCGAGGGGGACGGGCACCAGGGCACCTGGCTGCCGGGGAGAGTGGCAGCGCTAAGGGCACTTGGGCCGGCGGCTCGGTGGGGGCGGGGATGAGTGTCTGGAGTGGCCCGGCTGCCACGGCCGGTGAGGTCCCAGGGTGCGGGTGCGGGGCGGGGCCTGGTCACTGCTTCTTCTCACGGGTGGTGATGGTGACCAGCTGCTTGGCAGCCTTGGCAATGTCGTAGGCGCACTGGATCACCTGTTGAGTCAGCAGCTGGAAGTCCACAGGGGCGCCGGGCTCTGGGGGCACTGTCTTCCGACACTCGCTCTGCAGCCGGTAGGCGCTGGCGTTGAGCAGCCGTAGCGAGCTTCGCACGGGCTCCAGGGCAGGCCTCTGTGGAGCAGTCAGGCCTTGGATGTCAAACCAACCACGAGCCACGATGGGGCCCCGAGGGTCCAGGGGTCCAACCAGGCTGGCGCCGTCAGACTTTCTACACCCGCCCACCCTGAGGCGCCCCCCGCCCCCTCCAGCTGCCCTCTGGCCCCTGTACCTTTGGGAAGAGAGAGGCCATCTCAGTCACAGCCAGATGGATCTTCTCTGAGCAGGGCACGAAGCTGGGCAGGGGGACGGAAGGGTAAGTGAGGGAAGGGTCCCGGGCCTGCGGGGCACTGGTCCCTCCCTCGTCCTCCGCAACCCCCGAAGCCGTGCGAGCCTCCGCCTCCTCCGCCTCCGTACCTGTCGTGCTTGAACTCCTGGGCAGCCCGCAGCAGCTCCTGAATGTTCTTGGTGACCTGCTCCGTCTTCAAGATGACATCCTCCGTGCTGGGAAGCCCGGGGTCAAGGTCGCCATCCAGGCTTTCCAACTCCGGGTGAAAGTCCTCTTCCTTGCCCAGCTCCAGAAACCTCTTCCCTTCCAGGCTGGGGTTAGACAGGGAGGCAGCATTCTGGCCGTGAGGCCCCTTGCAGACACCCTCCAGACGCTTGGGGCCACCACCCCCTCTCCCCACGGTGCCTCACCCCAGCAGCGCGTCCCCACTCTGCGTGTTCTCATAGTCACTGTCTGCGCCGCTGCCGTGGCGGGAGAGCTTGCTCTGGAAGGCACAGGGCCGGGGCAACAGGTCAGGGGTGTGCTCGCAGACCCCCGTCACCTTGCCAGCACACCTCTTGCTCAGCCCGTCCCTCCCTTGGGCCCTGGGGATGCTCATTACCGTGTGGCGGCCTCCTTCCTGGGAGCACGGCAGCAGTGGGGAGGAGGGAGTGAAGGGCACAGCTGAGGCCGACACCCCCTTCCGGATCTGAAACCCAGGCAGGGCTGGAGTCAGTCTCCTCCTCCCCGCACCCCCACCTAGCGGCCTCCCTGCAGCAAGGCCGGGACCGTGTGTGTCGTCACCCTGTGCCCAGCGTCCCGCAGAGAGCTTGGCAGCCGCTGGGGCCCAGAGCCTATTTGTGGGAATGGACCCGCTTCCCAGGCCCTGCTTACCCGGTAAAAGCCGGCAGGGATGTGCACTGAATAGATGGCGTCGTCCTCCAGCTCCTGGGGGTGGCACAGGGGGGTCACAGGGGGCCCTGAGCTGGTCCCAACCCTGTCCCCACCCCACCCTCCTGGGGCCTGCAGGCGGCTCACGGTGCTGTGGAAAGGCTGGAGCCGGGTGGCGAGCTCGTCCCCAGGCGGGCCCCCAAAGGGCTTCAGGGCGGAGCCTGGTTCATACATGGAAAAGGCCTGGCGGTCCCTGCGGTGGGTGCTCCCGCCAGGTCCCACGGGCGCGTGCTCAGCTCGCTCGCTGGGGAGAGGGGGTGTGGGCACTGGCCCTGGCGGCTGCCGGATCTGCAGGTTCTCGGCCTGCAGCTTGTGGATCTGAGAGTGAGAGGGGCGTCAGAAACCCCGGGCAGCACCGCCGCCTCCGGGAGCATGCCCCTTCCCCGCCCAGCAGGGCCCAGGAGCCCATCCTCACCTCCCTCTGCAGCCTCCGTAGCTCGTCACTCAGGCTGCTGTTGACCTTCATGAGCTGCTGCACCTTGGCCTCAGAGGCGGCCAGGGCCTTCTTCAGCTCCAGGTACTCCTGCAGCGTCACGGCCCCGTCCGACAGGTCCGAGGAGTCCATGCTCTGCAGAGGGAGACGGGCCGGTCAGCCCCCTTGCCGCCGATGGGGCCCCAGGACAGGAGGATGGGGGGTCGGGGCGGCGCTCGGACCCGCGCTCGGTTGTTCCGCGTGGCGCCGGCGCTGCGCAGGGGCTCCTGGTCTGTGTCCTCGTCCGAGGCCACGCTGTCGTAGTCGTGCTGGTCGTCCAGGTCGCTCTGGCCCCGCGCGGACAGCTCGAGGTTGTCTGAGGGCACAGGCCTGTCACTCAGCGCCCGGGCCTGAAGCCCGTGCGCCGCCCGCAGGGAGCGTGCCCTGGAGTGGCGCCGCGCCCTTCCCACCTGTGGGGCTGCCCAGGCTCCTGCCCTGCTGTCTCCGCTTGGCCTCGCTGAGGATGTCGATGATCAAGGTGGCGAACTCGCGGGCGTTAAAACGGGCCAGCTTCTGTCGCCCCTGGGAGGGAGGCAGGGCCGGGCTAGTGTGAGGAGGCCCGTGTGGCTGACAAGAGGCGCTGGGGACAGAGCAGCCAGGCCGTCCGAGGAGCCCAGCCCAGGGTGACAGATGTGGAGGGCCTGGGGGAGCTCTCAGAGGCTGGGATAGCGCCTAAGGGCTGCTCACCCAGGGCTAACAGGACAGCTTCCTCCCCATTCCCACATCCCGGAGCCAGGGCGAGGCCTCAGCCAGGAGTGGGGAAGAGCAGCAAACAATGGCCTGCCTGCCGGGAAGGGAAGGGCAGGGCCCTGCAGTGCGGTGACCCAGCTAGGGAAGAGATGGCCCCAGGCCCCGTCCAGCCTGCTCACCTGATTCCGCGTGGCTGAGTACTCGGGGTTCACGGGCAGGAAGGGCACGGCGCTGCGCTCCGTCACCAGGGTGCTGTGGTTCTGGGTCGCCAGCCATACTGTGGGGGAGGGGCACGGACTGTCCACGGAGGCTGGGCCCGCGGAACAGGCCGGGGCGGGAGGGCCGGAGCACCGCCTTCCGAGCTCCTTCCCAGGCCCGCAGGGCCCCGAACACGGGTGTTCGGAACACAAGTGGTCTCTGGACACGGGATGCAGGGCTGGGTCAGGGCACGGCTGGGCGAGGCCAGCTGGGGACTGACAACAGGAGGAGGCGGCTCCCTCCCGCCTCTGGGCTGGAATCTGCTGTGGCCAGGAAGGAGGGATGGAGGGGGTGGAGCACGGCTGGGGAGAGAGCCAGAGAGGGCGGCCACGGGGCGGAGAGGAGCCCCGGTCCAGGGGGCTGGGGAGAGGAGCAGGCTGGCTGCCTCCTCTCGGCAGCTCTGCCCACCCGCCAGCAACGCTGGCTGCTGGGCTCCCAGCTGGCGGGGCTCATGGGCAGGCCTGCCAAGCAGACCAAGCCAGGTACCTCTTCCTAGTCCTGGTGAAAGAGTCACCCAGGTCCCAGCCCTCCCCGGCTGGCAGGTCCCCTGTCCCCTCTGCCCAAGACTTCCATGCCCTCCTGGCTCACCAGCGTCATTTTCCCTTCGATCCACCTCGTCGTACACGTCCATGGCCAGTTCCTCAAAAAGCCGGTTGCTGAGCTGGAAGCAGAGAAGGGGACCCAGGCCCTATCAGCTCAGCCAGCCCCAGTGCCAACCGAGCCAGTGCCCCAGGGTCTTGTAAGATGTGGGCAATGACTGGTGTCCCTTGTGTTGCCCAGCTCTCCCCCCAGTCTCAACTGGAAACCGGGGCAGGGGTCTGTCTGCCCAGCTCTGAGGTAGGAGAAAGAGGGAGACCAGAGTGGACGGGTTAGTGCCCCTGAGGGTAGAGACGCAGGAAGTCCCCTGGGAGCTGTAGGAGGGCAGAGTCAGGGTCACAGATGAACAGTGAGGAGGTGGGAGACAGGAGACTGGGGAGACTAGAAGGCGGGGAAGTCACTGGAACGGAGGGTCAGGGATGCGGGGCCCTGTCTGAGCAGACTCACCGCCTGCAGCTTCTTCTTGGCAGCTTTGGCCAACTCGGACAGGTCCAGGCTGTGGACGAAGAAGGGAGACGGGCACGAGGAGGAGGGGAGAGGCCAGCCGTGAGAGGCGGCCAGGCCCCTGCCAGTGACCTCCCAAGCATGCAGGGACCCCAGGGAGATGACACCCCAGGTGCCTCTCTGCCCCACCCCGCCTCCAGGGCCTGTCCCCGAGCAGGCACGTATACCTCTGAGACATGCACTTTTGCCGAGATCTAAGTCCAGAGGAGGCAGCAGAGGAAAGAACAGGACAGAGGTGGCAGTTACCCAGGAGCGTCACACTCAGACCCATCTCTGTGCACACGCTAGACCTGAGTGTACCAAACCTGACTTGTCTTCCCCCAGCCCACTCCTCAGTGGCTGGCGTGACCCACTCGTCACTTGATCCGTGATGACTCGCCCTACGTCAGCTCCTAGGAGTGACCTGCAGCCTCCTGCAACCTCAGGCCCTGGCCAAGCCTTCCCCAGGTGCTGCCGTTTCATCCTCCTGCCTGGCCTTTGGCAGCATTTTTCACCCATCTTCCTGCGTCCAGTCCTGCCCCTGCAATCCTCTATTCACTCACAAGCCAGGGCATTTTGGACACATCTGGCTTCACCATTCTGGCCTTAGAAACTTTTTCAATAACAGGGTATGTATGGCACACTTCAACAAAATGCTCACTTTAAAAACATGCTAAGGAATTCCCTGGCGATCTAGTGGTTAGTATCTAGCACTGTCACTGCCAGGTCCTGGGTTAAGATCCTGGTTGGGGAATCAAAATCCTATAAGCCATGTGGCGTGGCAAAAAACAAAAACCAAAAAACCTTAATGCTTTCTGTGCACTATCTTATTTAATCTTCTCAACAGCTCAGAAAGATAACTAAGGCTCAGAGAGGTGGGGGAGCCTGTCTGCAGTCACACAGCGGTCAGTGGCAGAGCAGACTCCACACATCCATGTTAGAGCCTCTCTGCTCCCACGACAGTCACAACTCACATTGGGGCACAGCACCAGCCACTCTCTCCCCCATCTCTCATCCAGTCCTCCTCCAGGGACTCCCCGCCTCTCCCATGCGCCGGCCACACGGTCTGCCGGCAGCTGCTCGCACAGCATCTCTCGCATCTGTGCCTTTGCCTCTCTGGCCGCACGCCCCACACAGGACTGCAGCCGACTAGGGCCCTGGCCACCCTGTCAGGATGGTGATACCCCTAAGGACCGGGATCATGCCTGAGTCACCTCTGTGTTCCAGGGCCAACAACAGCTGGCTCCGCAAAGGTGCTCGGTGAGCACCTCATCGAGAACCCGGCTATGTGTGTTTATAACACACACACACACACAAGCAGGCATACACACCAGGCAGAATCAGACCAGAGAAACGGGGGGAGTCTTGGGGGTCTCAGAACAGAAGATCTGGGGCTCGAGGGACCTGAGGGGTCCAGGCCTGACCATGGGCTTCGGGAGCGGGAGGGAGCCTCTCCAGATCCAGGCCAGCAGGCACAGCACCGCCACCACGGGCAGCCACCAGGTGGCGCTAGCGCCCACCCTGTGCGCGTCCCCACAGCCTGGGCTCCTGGGGCCGCTCACACAAGGGGCGGAAAGCACCTCTCCTGGCCTTGTGCTCCCAGCCCCTGCCCGATTTCTGAGCACACCACAGAAGCCTGGCAGAACCCCAAAGTCAGTCAAACTCCCGGGGTCCACCACGTTTTCATTGAAGAGCAAAAATTTGTCTAAAGATTTGACAGTTGGGTTCAGTGCCCCTGGGAACAGAACCCAGAGTTCCTGGTCTGGGGGTGGGGGGCTGTTTCTTGCACTCAAGCCCTATGTGCTTGACAGCCATGGAGGTCAGGCTGTGCTGGCCACAGGCTGAGTGGACATTTCTTACCTGCCTTGGGGCCCAGCATTAGGGAGTGAAGACCAGACTGTGATAGGCTTGTGCTTCCAACCCCTGAAGGGGGGCGGGGGCAGGGGTCCCAGGTCCCTAAAGCCTGAAGAGTTGCGGGGTGGGGGTTCTGGGGTTTGGGCATCCTCATGGCACCCAGCAGCCTCTGGGAAGGGGCATCAGGTGGGCACTCACCTGTCTGCCATCTGTGGGATGATGTAATGCCCATTCTTGTGATCTGAATAAAAATAAAAATGCCAAGTCACTGGTGCTGGGTGGCTTCAGCAGCTAGGAGCCCACCCCACTGCCATGAGTAGGACTTGGCACCCAGAAGGGACAGGGGAAGGGAGGAGGGCAGGCCACCCCCAAGGGCCCTGGGAACTGGTTGCAAGTTATGCCCACCCCCACTCTCTACCCCAACGTGCTGCAGCCCAGAGCCTGCAGCGATTTCACAGGAGCCAGTTGCCTAGCAACACTGTTCCCCAGCCGGCTCGGTCACCATGGCACCTGCTGCTGGGGTGTGTCTGGGTCCCACCTGCCTGGCCCCGCCAGGCCCGCCCCACACTCTGCTCACCCGGCTTGCGTCCACAGAGATAGAAGGCCAGCCGGTCAGTGAGCTCGTACTGGCACTCGACTAGCCGTTCCGCCAGCTCATGGTGCCCCGCCTGCCTGTGGGGAGGTCACACGGCTCAGCCCTTCAGCCGCAGTCCATTGCCCACACCCAGCCAAGCCTTACCCTTTGGCCAGCCCTTACCTGGCATAATCAATGGGTGTACGGCCGTTAACATCTGGGGAGCCAGGGTCAGCCCCATACACCACGAGCAGCTCAGCCTGCAGCGTCTGACCTGCCTTGGCAGCCACATGCAGAGGTGTGGTGCCCTTCTCTGGGTGGAAGAAGTTGGCCTGGGCACCCAGGGACAGCAGGCGCAGACATGTCTCCAGGTTGCCTGTTCGCACGCTTGAGTGCAGTTGCTGCGAGGAGCAGAGTGTGCAATAAATGGGTGTGCGTGCCCCCCCCCCTCCCCTGCCACAGCACCTAATCCAGGCCCTCTGGGACTCTGGCCAGCTCCCAGGACCCAGCTGCAGTTAGGTTGTCGGAAAGGACCGAGGGCTTCCCACCAGCAGTTCACACCCAGTAATCACAGCTGCAGTCAACCACCACTGACCGACCGCGTGCATGCAGTGTGCTCAGTTTAGAACAGATACTGTCTACAAGGTGGATGCTCTCTTTCCCGTTTTACAGATGAGACAATGGAGGCTCTGACCAACGTTTTCTGGCTCTCGAGTGGCGGCTGGACAATTTTAGCCTTGCATGTCCACTTGGGAGCAGAGGGGCCTTGATCGCACATGGCCTGAACATGCAATCCTGTCCTTCCACTGTGCCCACCGTTCTCACCTGACCTGGTTGCCTTGGGGACCTAGGACTCAGTGGGGATGGCATCATGGGTGAGGACGGGCCCGGTACCCTGCCGAGGGGCCCCACAAACCTTGCTGAGGTCTTTGGCGGTGACTCCGTCGTCGTCCCGGCAGGGCAGCTTGTGTACAAAAGCCAGCATCTGGTACTTGGCCCTGATGAATTCAGACTTGATGGGGCTGCATGGAGCACGCAGGAGGAAACGGGGAGCAGAGCAGTCAGTCACCCCGCCGCCTCCCAGGCTCGTGTCCCGCCGCACGGCCGCAGCCCCCACCCCTCACTCCTGACTCACTGGACTTTGTCTTGGGGGTTGGCTTTACGCCGGCCGCTCTGCACCTGCGCAGGGTCCAGCAGGGAATGCTCCCAGATGGAGTTGGCCCCGTTGCTGGCGAGCGTGTGCACCATCTGTGGGCAGGATGTGCCAGAGTGAGCATGCCTACTGAGCACCAGTAGACGCCTCCGAGCCCCAGACTGGATGCGGCACCAACAGGCCTACTGTGTGCCGAGCACTGTCACAGCCCCACCCAGTCTGGCCATCTAAGGATGTGGGTCTGGTTGAGCACTTTGGGGGTCGTGGTGGGCATGCTGAGGCTTTCAGCAGTTAAGCTCCATACTGCACGCCCAGAAGGGGCAGAGTTGGGGTGAACACCCAGGTCTGTGTGGCTCCAGTCTTGGTGGTGGCCTTCTCTGTGCCCAGGCGGTAAGGGGCAGGACTGGGCTCTGCCGCGGGTGGGGGGCCCAGGGCAGCTGTGTGTGTGGGCGCTCAGCACGCCCTGCGGGAAAGACAGGAAGCAGCCCGGGTACCTGCAGCAGGGTGGGGGGCCAGGCGCTGTGGCGGAGGTGCTTGACGATGGAGATGTGGCGTCCCAGGCTCCGGTGCACGCTGCAGCACTCGTCACACACCAGCACGCCCCTGCTGATGGAGGCCCAGCCGGGGTCTGCAGGGCGAGCGGGCACAAGGGTCAGCCACAGCCAGACGCGGGTGCGCCTCCCGAGCACGGCCCTGGCCCTGCCCGTGCTTAGGTCTCCATGCACAATTTGCACACTCCCAAAGTGTGCACACCCAAAGGCTTGGGGAGCTGGGCCACTGAGGAGGGCGCTGAGCTCTGGTGGAGGGAGGGACTCCCCGAAGGCTTGCTCCAGCGGCCACTGATGGAGCCAAGCCCTGTCCTACACGTCTCTGCCCCCTGGGGAGGTGTGGTCCCCAGGGCCTCCTCAGCGGGCACAGCTTCCTATGCTGCCAGGACCACAGTCCTTCTCCAGGGAACGAGACTGCTGCCCTGGCCCTGCCCCTGGGAGGCAGCAGTCCCCAAGGACTGCATGCCACAGCCCCAGAGACACTCCTGTGTTCAGATCAGCGCCACAACTCTCCGCACCCAGGCTTCTTTTGGAGTCACTGGCCCACCTATCTGACCCATCTCACCTTCCAGGGGCGCCCACCTCTGCCCTCACCTGGGCAGGTTAAGAGGCCTTTTCATGACTGAGCCTCCCGCCACCATCACTGATGGGTGAGCTGGAGCCCCGCTTAAGGGGGATGGAGGGGACCAAGGAGCTAACACTGCCCGAGCATCCACCGGGGACCAGCTGGGTGCGCCATCAGTATGGCGCCTCTAACAACTGTCAGGCAAGGCGGGAAATACTACCCCTGCTTCACTGACAAGGAACCCGTGTCTCAGAGATGTTAGGGTGCTTACTCAAGGCCACCCAGCTCATGAGGGGAATTGCTGGGATGTGAACCTAGGTATCTAGATGTCCACACCAGCTGCTCTTGCAGCCCCCAAGTGGGCGAGAGCCCTGGGAGTCACTCTCAACTCCTCAAGAAGTGAGCTTTGCAAGCGAGCAGGGGGACCGGAGAAGGCTGCAAGCTCCTGGGGTCCTTCTCAAGGGCAGCGGAGATGCCTCCCACCCCAGGCCTCTTGGGAGAGGGGGAGGAGACAGCTGCATACAGCTTAGGCTGCGGAAAGGTCACGGGGGAGAAAGCAGCCATTGTGTGTGGCCGGAGAGTGGGGGCGGGGAGCCGCTCTCCCGGGACACTCTGCTCTGCCCAGGCCCCCCGGCCCCACCTCAGGAAGCCCCATCCAGGGGGGTGGGGTCGGGGGCTGGCTCCCTGCCTTGCCCCCAGTGCTCAAATTGTCTACAGTGGTCCCCACTGGGGGAGGGGACAGGCTAGGGGTAATGAGAGCCTCGCCACGCAGAAGGCAGTTCTCAGGCCCTTCCCCGCAAGGACGTCCATCAGCGTTCCCCAGAGGACTGTGAGGAAACTGAGTCAGGGCAGTCTGAGCTGCGATGGTGTCTCCCCCACGGCACAGAAGCAGGAAGAGAAAGGAGTGGCCCCGCTGTCTGGGTCTGGGTTTTAGGGATCTGCCCCCAAAACAGGACAGAGGGGTGCAGGAGGTGCCCCCACCCACCTTCATCGGAGGCTGACTCTGGGGGCCACCATCTCTGCCAAGAGGGGGAGCCCTAGAGCAAACAGGAGCGTTGGCTTGACCCAACCGGTCTGGCCCTCAGGCGAGGAAAGCTCCCTCCCCCGCTCCAAACGCCACTGGGTCAGGGGTCTGCCTGCCAGCCACCTCCGGCCAGCCCAGGCAGGAAGCTGGAAATGACGCAGCCCAAATTCCTCTTGTTGAAATGGTGGGGTTTCCTGTCAGCAGGGAGCCGCCCAGGCCAGGATCATAAATGGGCCACTCTAAGGCCTCCACCCCAAGCCCACGGCCCACCCGGAGAAGCCAGGGCTGGGCGGGCTGGCCAGCCATCCAGCGCCAGAGCAGACACGGTAACCCCTGAAGGCGGCAGGGACCAGGATCTGGGCAAAGGGGTCCAGCTCTCCACTCTCCCAGCCTGGCAGAGGGGGTCCCCCCCCCCTGCAGTGACCTGAACCAGGTGGGCAGGGAACACGGTCCTGGTCTGGGGCACAACGGTGCCAACTCGGTTCTGGGTAACATAAGTGGGTCACTCTGCTCCCTGCCTCCTCTGTCCAAGGGGCCTGGGCCCCCCCAGCAGGCGCCCCCATGTCCCACCTAGGCCAGTTCTGAAGCTGAAAGGCCAGGAAGGGGTTCTGAAACTCAAACGGCTACTGTAATTTGAGATTAAGGGACCCGTGCCCCGCTCAAGGATTCCAGGACCAAACTCGGGGCAGAAGGGACGGGGAACGTGAGGGTTAGGGGGTGCGGTCACCTCCTCAACATCTCTTTCCCGCCTCAGTTGTTGGTGGGGGGTCGGGCTGGGGCGCAGGGGTCCCATGTGGGTGGCCGAGTGGCAAGGAGTCCTGGAGTAATGTGAACCAGCAGCAAGCCCATGCAGGCCTCTACTAAGGGGAATTCATGTCACCACCCAAAGCCATCAGTGGTCTCTGGGGCCAGTAGCCAGCCTTTCCTATCCAGGCACCTGGACAAGAGAGAGAAGCCCATCATCTTGAAAGCCGGCAACAGAAATCTACTCTACGCAGACAGAGGTCACAATGGCGGTTCCCTCTGTGGGCAGGCAGCAGGCATTGACACAAGAAAGCCCTGTAGAGTGTCGGGTGGGCTCTCATTCTGGATCAGAGTTGCGGCTATAGAGTTATGTATGTATACAGGTAAAGACTCATCAGGCTACAGAGTAAGGCACAGGCACTTTGCTGTACAGAAGTTGTGAGTGTATGCTCACTCGTGTCTGACTCTCTGCGACCCCATGGATTGTAGCCGCCCCCCTGCCCCCGGCTCCTCTGTCCATGGGATGTTCCAGGCAAGAATCCTGGAGTGGGCTGCCATTTCCTTCTCCAGGGGTACATAAGCTACACCTCAGTGAAAGAAAAAAGCTCAGCATTCACCTCAGCCCGTCATCTACATCATGAAGGGACAAATGAGCTTGCAGGTTCCCAGACGCCGTGAGCTGGTGGCCAGCCTTGCTCACTCAAGGTGCCTGTTAAGATGGGCGTTGTGAGGGCTTCACGCTTGTGCTGGGGGCTGCCTGAGCTGGGGCTGCTGCAACAGGGGCCCAGGGTGCAAGAGGCAGGCCCTTAGAGACAAGCTGGCTGTGCCGCAGGTGGCATGGATGGGCGGGACAGGGGAGACACACATCCCCCAGGGTTCCCAAGGCAGGCAGGGTCACAGACGGTGCCTGGCGAGGCGGCACTAGCCGCCAGGGCAGGCAGCCGTGCCACGCTCACAACACACTCACACTTGTCTCATGCACCCAGGCCTGGGAGGAGGAGGATGGGGCTCTTTGGGGTCAGGCTCATCTTACCTTTTACCTCAAGACCCTGCAAATTAACCAGCCACAAAGAGACCACGACCCCACTCCCAGGGCTGGGTCTGCAGGGCTCTGAATATGGTGAGAAGCCTACGCCTTCAGGTAGGAAGCACGCACCAAGGAGGGGCTCTGGGCCTGGGCTCCAAGCTGCTAGTTCCCCTCTAGCCTCTTACCTGGGCTGCTCCAGGTCCCAGACTGAAAACTGCCTCAAGGAGAAGTCAGGGTCCTGAGAAGCCTCCAATCCCTTGGGGGAATGCCTGCTCTGTGCTAGAAACCATGCTGGGTGCTGGGGTGAGCAAGACTTTATCAGCACCCTGCATGCCTCACATCCCCACCTCACCACCTGCCTCCTCCTGACCTGCATTCTGGATCAGGGCCGGGATGGGGGGTGGGGAGGTTCCCAGGAGCACACAGGACTCTGTGGGATGAGGACTGGGGATAGGATCCAGGCACCCCAACACATGAGAGACACACCACTCCTGCCCATGCCCACTGGGCATCCAGAGGCTTCCAGTCAAGTAGGCAAAGGCAACAGAGAAAGGACAACTGCCTTGCTAATGCTGCCCTGCGTCCCCCGGCCCAGATTTCAGGACCACAGACTTGGAGATGGGACGGTCCTCAAAAACCATCTCTACTCCAACTTCTTGGCCTCAGAGTCGAGGAAACTGAGACTCAGCATGAGAAAAGTCTTGCCTTGAGTCAGAGTCAGCTGGAAACAAAGGCAACACAAAAATCCAGCTTTCCATGATAAAGTGTCTGTTAGACAACCCAGTCCCAGCCACACCAGCCACACCTGCCCTCCCCCCCAACTTCCTCGGGGCAGAGGGGCAGCCTGGCAGAGGGTCAGAACAGCCTCGGACCAATACACAGAAGGCAAGCTCTCCTCTTAGCTCTTCATTCCCCAGACCTGCCTGCAGTTGCGGGGAAGGAAATAGTAGTTTCTAACTAACCAGAGGTAAGGACACCTTGTTCTCCCCCACCCCCCCGCCGCACACCTAGGACACACAGCTTCCTCAGGGCCTTCTAGACCATGACATGCCCTGAGAGGAGGCCTCAGGGTCACAACCACTCAGACCACCATGCATCTGCCAGGCTCCCACGGTTCCCAAACACTCAAGCTTGGCGCCATTGAAACCACCAGAGCATCTGTGGGTCTCAACCTTCTGGGGTCCTGTTGTTATTTACTCTCTCGGTCTCTTCTGCAACCCCATGGACTGGAGCCCGCCAGGCTCCTCCCTCCATGGGATTTCCTAGGCAAGAATAATGGAGTGGGTTGCCATATCCTTCTCCAGGGGATCTTCCCGACCCTGGGATTGAACTTAGGTCTCTGGCATTGGCAGGTGGATTCTTTACCACTGAGCCACCAGGGAAGCCCTGGGCCTGTCCAAAGGGTGGCAGGAAGTTATGGGCCACAAGACGGCACCCCACACTCTCCACCTAATTGTGCCCAGAATCCTCCTGGAGTTCATGGACACACCCCCCCCCCCCCCCGGCCGAGCCTGCCGGGAGATCTCCCAGGGATATAGCTCCTTTTCTAAAGAGAGGATGGTCAAGGGCCAGGGCCTTCATTTCCCCAAGCCAGCTGCGGAGCCCCATCACTGGCAGTGTCCCCTCACATCAGAAGGGAGCAGCCTTTCCGGGTCATTTCTCCTCACCTCCTTGGCAGGTCAGGGGGGTTTCACATCGTCCTGGACCTGACTCGGTGGGAAGAAGGGAAACGGCAAGGAAAATACAGCTGGGAGGCAGGCCACAAAGCCAGGTGGGTCCCAGGAATGTAGGCACCTCTCTGCATGCTCCCTACCCATTTCTGGGCAGACTGGGCTCGGGGACAGGGAGAGACGTCTGTGCCCAGGCTGGGGTAAGGCCAAGCCCACCTTCCAAGCAGGCTCTACTGGAGCACAGGAAAAGCTGAGGCTCGTTGTCCCGTTACCAGGCCTGGGGACGCCTCAGGGGACGATGCCCAAGCTTGTGGTGGCCCTGAACACCAGGCCCTGCTAGGAGCCTTGGGAGTCAGGGGCAGGGAGTCCTAGGAGTAGCCACCCCGCCGTCTGCTCCCGAGAAAACAGAATACAGACAGCCCTCCCGCCCCCCACCCCGGCCCATCTGCCCGGCTTTCTGCCCCTTGCCCTCCGTCCCCCCAGCGGGCGCGCAGACCATGCGAGCAGCAGGTGCAAGACGCGGGGGTGGCCCTGAGATGACACAAAACCACACTCGCCCCCACCTCCGAAACCCGGCCGGCCTCCGCCACAGTCCTCCCGGCCACCCCAGGCTGGCGCTTCCGTTTGGATCCAGAGATGGAAGGCGGGGGGAGCGGGGGAGGGTGGGGGGCGCCAGCTGAGGGGCGGGAGGCGGCGCCGGGAATGTCCTTCCTCGCTGGTCCACGGACGCGAGCAAACCGCGGCCCCCAGAGCGGCCCTCCCGCCAAGGACGCGGCTCCGCAGCGGCCCGGGCGGGGGCCGAAACCGGAGGCCGGAGGCCGCAGCCCCCAGCCCCGCCCCGCCCTCCAGCCCCGCACGGCGCGCCCGCCAGGCCCCGGCGCCCGCCCGGCGGCGCCTCGGTGCGCGGTCCCGCCCCCGGCCCGGCCCCGCTTACCCGGGGCGCTGCAGTCCGCACACACCTCCGCTCGCGGCCCCTTCCGGGACATCCTCAGCGGCGACGCGGCCGCAGCCCTCTGGGCCAGCGTGGGGGGCGCGGGCGGCGGGCCCGGGCGGCGGCGGCCCTTGCTGCCCGGCCCGGCTCCGGCAAGGCCCCGGCTAGGCTCCGCGCGCCCGGCCAACCGTCCGCCCCAGGGGCTGGCCCGGAACCCGCCGTGCCCGCCCGCCCGCTCGCCCTCGGGCGCCCTCCGCCCCGCACCGCCCCGCGCCGCCCCGCGCCGCCCCGCCGCCGCTCGCTCTCTCCGCCCCCTGCGCGGCTCCGGGCCGCTCCTGCAGGAAGCGGCGCAGGCCCGGCCCACCGGGGGAGGGGCGGCCCGCACACCCGCCCCGCCGCCAGGCCCTGCCCGCCGAGCCTCCCGGAGAAAGGAAGCCGGGAGCGCGAGCGGGAGGGGGCGGGGGCGCTTAAAGGGGCCGCCGCCGCCAGGCCGGAGCGCGCAGCGCCGCCTGCGGCCCGGGCCTCGGTGCGCCCATGCCGCCGAGACGCTGCGAGTTCGCCTCACAGTCTCGTCCCGTTCATATTCGAGGCGGGGGGTGGCCTGAGGAGCTCGGGCCCAGGGACAGTGACCCCTGGGGATCAGAGAAGAGTGAGGAGCGGGAGGCCCCGGCCCCCACTTATCCAGGGTCTGTAGTTCGAGGTACCCGCTTGTCTGTCTGGGTTGAATTGTGCGTCCCGGTTCCCCTGTGTATCCACATTTGTGTGTCCAGGTGTGTGTGTGTGTGGTCACTCTCTTGCTGACTAGCCCACCGCCAACAATTTGGACGGCCAGGTGCCAGAGGTCATGCAGTGAATCCCCCAGTCTCCGGGCTAAAAAGACATCTATCTGTCCTCCGTGCTTTCATCCAGAGAGGAAAGAATCTGGACAGGTTTTTTTTTTTTTTTTAAAGACCTCCTGAGGAGTGACCACTGTGACTGTGTGCAGAAATATCCACTTGGTATCAGTGTTGTATACATCAACGGTATTTCTGAGACACCAGAGGTGTGTGTCCAGGGCGTGGGCATATAACATATAGGGATCCTATCTTTGGTGGCCTTTCTTCCTGGACTTCACGGGGGGAGACTCATTGGAAGGGTGGGGGTGACAGGGAGAGGAGGCGCAGGCCTCACATGGGTGCACCCCTGCACTGAGCATGCTCCCCCATACACGTGTGCCCCACGTGCACCCAACCCCCATCCCTGCAGCAGCAAAAGGCCAGCGCTCTGTTAGTGGGGAGAGGGCGAGGGTGCCCAGGCCCAAGGGCCAGGGTAATGGTGACACAATTAAGGCAGGTTCCTCAGATTAGGGGAGGGTTCCCCATGGCCGGGAGTCCTGCTCAGAAGCAAGGGGGCTGGAGGGGAATCCTTGGGCAGGGGTGTCGGAGTTGGCTCATTTTATCCCGGCGGTGCCAGAGCAGCAGTGACTTGTGGGTGGCAGGCTGCTTCCCTGGGGGAGACAAGTAATGCTCATGAGTCACACCACCCGAAATATATGCAGAGCTGCCTCCATCGCCTTTTACTGCAGCCCAGATTGACAAGTTTGTTTGAGATTGCGATCCACAGGGTGTATTTATAATCGCACCTTAAAAAAAAAAAAAAATCTTGCAGGCATCCCCTCCCCCCATAGCCAGCCGCTCATCCGGCAGGGTTTCCGCGAGCAAAGATACCTCGCGGGGTGGGGTGGGTGGTGGGGGGCACCACCTGCCGCCCCTTGCTGCACCCTCACCGAGGAGTCAGTCCGTGGCCCCATCCCTGGTGATGGGAGGAGTGGCCTGGCCGCTCCTACCGGGGGCCCAGCCCACGAGCTGCGGCCGCCCGTTCACCCCTGATCGCCCCCCAGCTATGGAATTTCATTTATTAAATGTCGAGGCGGCTGCTGGCAGCCCCATTGCTTGGCAGTCTTTGTTTCTCTGCTGTGTGGGCGCGTCTCGAGCACGTGGCAGCTGGAGCGCGCAGGCCTGGGGGGAAAGCGACTTGGGTTTAGAGTCCAGGGCCGCTTGACGAAAAGAGAAACTCCAGCTGCCCAGAGGATGGGCCCCCCCAATCCAGGCTGAGCTCCCCGCCTCCGTGAGCTCCAAGCCTTTTCAGAGGAAGAAGGATGAGTCACTCGGTTCCCCCGACTCCGCTAGCCCCACCTCCTGGTTGGCCCTGGGACTGCCGGGGAGTGGCCGAAGCTCGGATCCACTCTCCGAACTTTGTTCCCGAAGCCCCCAGCCCCGCCACAGACGAGCTTCTGGGCCTGGGGCTTAGGGATAAAAGGGTTTCCGAATTTCCCTTTGGAGACTTCGTCACCTCAGGAAGCAAGACAGTTAAAGAAGAATCACATCAAGATTGTAAAAACAATTTAATGAGGAAATGTACAGGCATTCTCCCGGCCACTCCTGGCCGTCCCTTCCCCGCTCCAGCCCCCTCCCCAACTCCAGCTGCAGCCACGGCACTCTGCTGACCCCTCGTGGTGGAGGTGGGCAGCGGTCGCCGGCCGCGGGAGACGCGAACTGGCTCCTCCCAGCCTGGAGAAAGGGGCGAAGCAGTCCACTCCTCCTTCATCGTTCCGCGCCGGGGCCTGGCACCGCTGGGTGTGGAGGAGGAACGAGAGAAGACCACACAAAGAAACCTGAGCGAGGCACGGAGAGTTTGCAAGCTTTCGCCAGCACCTCCCACACAAACGCTTCTTGGATTGTTCTAAGTGGGGCTGGTATGGAATCCCTGATTCCTGTCTTGTTCCAAGGTGGGCTCCAGAAGGCGCAGTGCCTGGTCCCGCCACCTGGCCCAGTGGGCCTGGTGAGGAGAGGGATGCATCATTTCCAGGTCAGTCACCATCCTTAGCTAACCCCAAGAGGTAGTATTAGAGCCACATTTTAGAGGTGAGTGGTCTGAGAAAATTTAAGCAGTTTGCCTAAGGTCAGGCAGTTAGTAAGGAGGAATAGGAATTCAGGTTTCCTCGGACACCCCAGTCCCTCCCCGCCTCCAGGGGCTGGGCCAAGCCTCAGGTCCTTCTAGCTCCTGCAATAGACTGCCCTGGAGGGCAATTCCACTTTTATCCAGACATCTGTAAGCACCCTTCTGGAAAGATCTCTCTGCCCTGGAGTTATTCAGGAAGGAGACAGTCTCTGGAACCAGTGCTTCCTCTCCAGAGGGGACCACACGGGGTGGAGGTGGGGAGCTGCCACCTGCTGCAGTCTCTGCGCAGCCCCACTTAGGTCCTTGCAGAAAGCAGCGTTTGGGGGGGAGGGGTGTGTTCTCCCATCCTTAATAGACATCGTCTTTCTAATGTCAAGTGCAGAAGATGGAGTTTAATTTTAAAAGAAGGCAGGGAAGACTCCTACGTAGTATTTCAGGTGCCAGATTTCTGGTTGCTCCAATGACCCTTGGCACTGCACACTAACGCCCCGCATTTTTCTCAGGACTCCTTCCACCAGTCACTCTTTTCTTGGAATCTGGATCCCGCTCACGTTCCACTGGGACCCAAACTCAAGCCTGAAGGCCACACCTTCCCGCGCCCCCTAATGCTTGAGGAAGGCCTGTAACCCCGTCCCTCCCCAGCAAAAGGCAAAATGCCAGGGGTTGGGGGTGCACCCCAGTCCACCAGACGTCAGGACACTGCCTCCGACCCGGCCGGGCCTGACTCCCTCCCCACTGTCTCAGTGGATCAGGGGGTCAGTGCGGGACCCCCTCCGGCCACTCACCACCCCCAGTTCCACGAGGCGGACTACAAGCCCCATGATGCCGCGGGGCCCAGTGATAACAAGCGCTGCCCAGGGCATCCACGTCCCCCTCCTCTCTCCCCCGTATCCCCGCATCCCTAGCCGATCGCTCGGGCTGAGGGCCGGGCTATGCAGCTGCGGGGTGCCGGGTGCTGCGGGCGCGCGTCCCTGCGGCGGCGGCGTCCCTGGGGCCTGCGCCCCGAGCGCCCCCGCGCCCGCTACGGCCGCCTGCTCCCTCCGCCGAGTGGCGTCTTTGTGCGCGGGGGTGTGGGAGGCAAGGCGCGAGTCCGCGCAGCGCCGCCGAGTGCCCGCGCCCTCCGCGGGCGGGTGGGGGCCTCTCCGCGCCGCCCGCCGCCGCCGCCTCGCGAGGACGCCCGCGGCCCGCGCCGCCCGCACCGCGCCACCCCCGCCCGCCGGCGCCGCTCGCACATGCCCGAGCCGCAGCCCTGCGAGCAGGCAGCGCCGGCCCCCCGCCCCGCGGCCCCGGGCCCCGGCTCTGGCGCCGTCCCTCCTTCCGGGCCGGGCGCCGCGGCCCCGGTATGAGGAGCGGGCGATGATCCCCGCCAACGCCTCCGCCAGGAAGGGGCCCGAGGGCAAGTACCCGCTACACTACCTCGTGTGGCACAACCGCCACCGCGAGCTGGAGAAAGAGGTCCGCGCCGGCCAGGTAAGAGCGCCGTCGGGGCGTCGCGAGGACCCCACGGCCCCGCTAGCCCGCCCGGCTTGGGGAGGGGGCGCGGCGCGGGCTGTCCCGCCCCCCTGGCGAGTTTGCAGCGCTTCTTTGTTCGCCGGCGCCGCTTTTGTGCTGTTGACCTGGAGAGGGTGATGGGAGCGGCCACCGCTGGCTCCCCTCCGGCCCGGCCGGGCGGTCCACACGTGCTCCGAACCCACCCTGATTGGGGTAGGGGACGCCCTGCCCCTCCTCCGCCGGGTTAGTGAGGGCTGCGGGGAGGGGCTGCCGGCTCCATCCGAGCTCCGCGCGGTGGGAGAGTCCGCCCCACTCAGCCCGGCAGCGACACCTCCCGCGTGAGTGTGCGGAGGTGGCTTGCGTAGGCAGGGGGTCACAGGTCAAGGATCGGAGACTAGGCCGGGCCACTCCCAGGCGTGCCAGCCCCACCCAGCGCCCTCTGCCCTCTCCACGCGCGCTTATCTGTTTGCTCACACTGGGCTGAGCCCCTGCACCCCGCCGACCCCAGAGCCTGCTCAGGAATGGGGAGTGGAGTGAGAGAGCCTCTGGGGTGAAGCCCTGGAGGGCCTTGTCCAGGTGCTGAAAGGCTCTCTCCTGCCTTCTGATGCTGGGCCCGGCTTCTAG